TGTATGCATAACCAATGGACATGGACAACAATGCCGGGGGTTGGGGAGGGCAGTATGGGGAGGAGGGTGTCTAGCGGGGGAAAAGGAGAAACATCTATAACAAAAATAAATTAATAATAATTGAAAAAAAAAAGAGAGAAAATAACCATTTATTGGCTAAAATATTTTCACCAACTGTTATGGAGTTTTTTCTGCTCTAGTTTCTCTCTTCCAATCTTGAATTAGATGTTATTTGTCTAACATCCCTGCCCTCCATCTTACATACACTCCTCTGATTTACTCTTCTCTTGGAGAAGTTATATCCAGAAAGGACATCTTAATCTTTTCTTTCATCTGCTTGAATATTAAGGTAAGACATTTTCAGGCTCTGATTTCCCTGGATCTTTTCCAAGATGTTTCCTTGTGTTTTGAGTCTTTCCTTAGATGCCCTGTTCCCCTCAGTAGTTGCAGGGTACAGGAGGAGATGGGAGTGGAGGGGGAGTGGGGATTAATCCTGATTCTCTATCCAACTGTCTTCATCTACCTCATCAATACTGTCACTATCATCTCAGAAGGGTCCTGGGACCCCAGAGAAGTCTTTGAATCAGCTGTGGCCTAGCAAATCAGACTATGAGCAAACATACCCCTTATTCAACTGTCTACTGTATTTGTGTTAACAGTGTTCATATCTTTGCTTCTGGTCTAAATACAACATTCACTTAATAGTCAATAGTAAAAATCCAACATTTAAGTCTCAATCAAAGCCAAAATTGATTCATAGAATTCTGATGATATCTTTTGGAAACAGGGAGGTTGGTCAATGAACTAAAAAAAATATCTGAAAATCCCAAGTTTTTGCTCTTTTTACTGATAATCTCTTTGCACAGAACTCAAGAGATGGCAGGCAGGTCTCTCACACCAGGAGACCAAGCCTGTTCCTTTAGCTCCAGGCACAGCTGCATCCCCCAGCTAATTTGTCACTAAGTCCCTGGCTCCTCTTTGTGGGCCATTATTACTTAAAGGCACATCTCCATCAGAAAATAAACCAGGGAAGGAAAAACAGGTTAAAGACATTTTCATAATTCTATCTGTTGATCACTGTAAGAGTCAAAAGTATGATTTAAATATTTTTAAATAGTTGTCTATAGATTTCAATTATCTCAGTGCTGTCCAATAGAAATTAGAATGAAAGCCACATTGTAATTTAAAAGTAGCCTCATTAGTCCATAAAAATTCTAGAAGAAAATGTAGGCAACAAAATTTCAAACATCATACGCAGCAGAATTTTCACTGATACATCACCTAAGGCAACAGAAACAAAGGAAAAAATGAACACATGGGACTACATCAAACTAAAAAGCTTCTGCACAGCAAAAGAAACAACCATCAAAATGGAAAGGCAACCCACAGTATGGGAGAACATCATTGCCAATGATACATCAGATAAGGGGTTAATTTCCAATATATATAGAGTTCTCATACAACTCAACAAAAGGAAGACAAAGAACCCAATTAAAAAATGGGCAGAGGAGCTGAATAGACACATCTCCAAACAGGACATACAAATGGCCAAGAGACATATGAAGAAATGCTCAACATCACTAATCATCAGAGAGATGCAAATTAAAACAACAATGAGGTATCACCTCACACCTGTCAGAATGGCTGCCATCAACAAATCATCAAACAAGTGTTGGCGAGGGTGTGAAGAAAAGGGGACTCCAGTGCACTGCTGGTGGGAATGCAGACTGGTGCAGCCACTATGGAAAACAATATGGTGTTACCTCAAAAAACTAAAAATTGAACTTCCATTTGACCCAGTGATCCCACTTCTAGGAATATACCCTAAGAAGCCTGAAACACCAATCAGAAAGAATATATGTACCCCCATGTTCATAGCAGCACTGTTCACAATAGCTAAGATCTGGAAACAGCCCAAGTGTCCATCAGAAGATGAATGGATAAAATGCTGTGGTACATATACACAATGGAGTACTATGCAGCTGTAAGAAAGAAAGATCTCTTATCCTTTGAGATGACGTGGAGGGACCTGGAAAGTATTACCCTAAGTGAAACAAGCCAAGCAGAAAAAGACAAATACCACATGGTCTCACTTATTTATGGAATATAATGAACATAACAGTCTGAGAAATAGGGTAGACCCAGAAACATGGAAGTAGAGTACAGACTGACAATCCTCAGAAGAGTGGGTGGTGGAGGGAGGGAAGAGTTAAACCACAGAACTTATATGCATGTACGCATAACCAATGGACATGGACAACAAAGCCGGGGACGGGGCGGGGGGATAAGAGGAGGGTGTCAATGGGGTAAAAAAGGATAAACGTCTGTAACAAAAATTAAAATTAAAATAAAATTAAAATAAAATAAAAAAAGAAAGGTAGCCTCATTATAATAAGTAAAAAGAAACAGGGTCAAATTAATATTAATGACAAATTTTGTCTAACTAGTATTTTCAAATATTACCATTTCAAAGTGAAATTAGCCCTGGCCGGTTTGGCTCAGCGGTTAGAGCGTCGGCCTGCGGTCCGGAGAGACCCGGGTTCGGTTCCCGCTAAGGGCACGTACTTCGGTTGCAGTTTGTCCCTGGCCCTGGTTGGTCGTGCGGGTGGCAGCCACTCGATGTGTCCCTTCACGTCGATGTTTCTCTCTCTTTCTCCCTTCCTCCCTCTCCCTCCTACTCTATCTGTACAAAAAATGGAAAAATATCCTCGGGTGAGGATTAAAAAAAAAAAAAAAAGTGAAGTTAATATTAAAAATTAAGATATTTTGCATTCTTAGTTTGCATTAAGTCTTTGAAATCTAGTGTCTGTTTTACACTTACAGCATGTCTCAGTCAAACCAGAGCCACATTTTGGTGACTCAGCAGCCACCCATGGCCAATGGCTGCTGTACTGCCCTGTATCACTGTCGGTTTTCCCATTCCTAGGTGCCTTCTCAGTATTAGCTGCACCCTTCATGGGACAAACTGTATGAAGCCCTTTGGGAAAGCATCAGATGGAAGGCATTTTTATTCACTAACTTCAATAATTTCAGCCCCTCTAAAGTCACTAGAAGTATCATCTTTTAGTAGCAGAAGATGGAGGAGCTAGGAATCTAGGTGTGTGTGTTGGGGAACGGGGGATGCAAGCCATTCCCTTTCTTGCTCACTCTGTGGGCAGAGGATATTTAGACATCTCTGAACATACATGCTTAGGCTCCTGTGCAACCAAGCTGCTACACCCCAGGCTAGAGTGTACAGTTTGTGCCAGATCTGAAATTTCCCCTTTATCTCACCTACTTAACAGAGGAAGCAGGCTTCCAGAAACTGAAATGGGGAAGACTGGGAGGCTTAGGGGGCAGAAAATGAAACTAGACATAAGATAGAAGAACATGAACTTTGGAACCAGCCAGTCTGGTTCCCAGCTCCATCACCTATGGTTGTTTATCTCCCTGAGCCTAGTCCCCTCATCTGTGAAGTGGAGGTAATGATAGCACTGACTTCTCAGGATTGTTTGGGATAAGATGATAAATGCTGAGAGCCTGGCATGAAGGAAAATGACCATTTGTGGCTTGCTGCTATCTGAGGAAGCTATATAACCCTTCACAAGGTATCTATTCTCTGATAAGCCACTCCTCTCACTTGTTTACCTTTCAGCCTATCCAACCCTCCACCCAAATCCCCTCAGCCTCCCACCAGGTCATCTCATGTAGTTCCTGTAAGGCCAGTGGCTCCCTGCATCTCCTGCCTGAGGATGTTCCCCAGAAAACATGAAAGGTCTGCAAGGGGCTGCAGGTAGAGGACTGCCTAGGAGTTGAGGGTCCAAGAATGAATCCCCAAGCAAGGAGTGATGGGAGTTGATAGATTAATACCCTAGCTTCCTCACCCCTGGTGCAATTTTCGGGGGCATTCTATATATTTCTTCAGAGGCACCCCAGTGGGGCTGAGTGTCAGTTGCCCTCAGTGGTAACCTGCTCATTTACTCACTCTTATTGGCTGTCTTCTCCTCATTGTGCCTCCTGGAACCATCTCCCAAATAAACTGCTTACACAGTAAGCTAACTCAGATCCAGAGTTCTTCTTTTTATTTATTTTTTGGTTAATCCTCACCCAAAGATATTTTTCCATTGATTTTTCTTTTTTAGAGAGAGTATAAGGGAGGGAGAGGGGTAAGGGGGAGGGCTTCGAGGACCAGTTGAACCTCCACCCCACATGCCCGACAAGGTCTGGAGATTGAACCCAAAACCGAGGTATGTGCCCTTGACTGGGAATCAAACCCAAGACCTTTCCATGAGAGGGCCAACACTCCAACCACTGAGCCACACCATCCAGGGTATCCAGAGTTCTTAACTACTACACCAACGACTCAACTTGTAAACTCTTCCTGAGAAGCAGTCAGTCCCCAATATTTCCTGGTTAATTCTCCATTGATTGCACTGATGAGGCAGCTCCATCAGCTGTTTATTTCAAGTGAATAGCCAATGGCCAGCAATGCTCTCTGAGCCCCCTTCACTTTGTCTTAAAGGACAGGATGGAGGAAGTGACCATAGAGCTTACAGAAGAAGAAGAAATAGGCCATGCTCTCAAGGATATCTTCAGACAGAGATGAAAAGCTGAGAAACTCTGCAGTACAACCAATGACAAATGACTGCATTAATGGTCCCCTATTTCCTCCAGCCCTTGGGTTGGTTGTTTATGAGCCTAGATTTACAGTTACTTGATGGGTCCACTGATAGCCTTGGGACCCTCCTCGCCTACAGGACCCTCCCCCACCCTGATACTCCCTAAGCATTCTTTCCGCCCCACCCTAAGGTACCAGCCTGGCCACAAAGAGGTCAACCTTTTACTGATTCACTGGTGCTAGGGGCTAAAAAAGAAGCCTTATATCCAGACCCAAAAAGAGTACACACTAGAGGAGTCCTTTTCTATCATGTAAAAACCAGGCAACAGCAATTTATATTGTTAGAAGCCACAACATCAGTGCTCTTGGGAGAAAGGAGATGGTTGATTTTTTCTTTTTTGCCTTCTGTGGTCCTCGGTTAAAAGGGCCTCGAACGGCAACAGTCAGCAGTTGGCCCCAGTTATGTGCAAACACATGCTCTGGTGCTGCAGCCTGACAGCAATCCCTCCGTACCCCTGCCCCTGCCCCTGGTACCACTCCCAGGCACAACGGAAGCTCAGAGGCAGCACTTAGGAGATAGTGATTTGAAGGTGGCAAGAGGGAGGTGGCAGTAACTTTCAGGATCTGGAAATATTCTGTTTCTTAGTCTAGGTGCCCTTGACTGGCTTTGTTCACTTTGCAAAAATTCCTAAATTTGTTGTATGATTTGTGCACATTTCTGGATGTATGTTGCATTTAAATAAAAAATTCCCTACAGGAAGTTTTTAAAAAGGAAAAAAGAAAAACTAATCTTTAAATGGAGGACATTTTCGCCAGGCCGCTGTGGCTCAGTGGTTGAGCGTCGACCTATGTACCAAGAGTTTGTTGGTTTGATTCTTGGTCAGGGAACATGCCCAGGTTGTGAGCCAAATCCCCAGTAGGGGGCATGCAGGAGGCGGCTGATAGATGTTCTCGCTCATCCACGTTTTGATCTCTCTCTCCCTCTCTCTCTAAAATCAATAAAGCAAAAAAAAAAAAAAAATTAAATGGAGGACATTTTCCCCATGCCAGGAAGGTAGCTTATGGCCAGTACTCGTAAGAACAAAGAAGCATAAGGGCCATAAAGAAATTTTAATTAGAGGATCTGAGAGGGTTTTGTGGGGTATTGAGGGGCTGGAAACCCCGTCTGGAGGGAGGAGTGGACATTTTCCCATTCCCACTAAAATGCCAGGGGAAACCTAAACTCTGAAAGGGCTTAAGGGATCAGAGGCACTATATACAGTGAACTCTGAGGCTGTAGGGAGAGTGGGTAGCAACCAGAATGAGGTTGAATGGGTTAGGATGAAATATGTTTAAATGATATAAAATGGGCTGGGATGGAATGGAATTGGGATGGACTGAGATAGGATGAGGATCTGAATAAGGGTCCCAGATTTTGAGGGGCTTTACATGAAACTCATCAAGGTGAGGAGTTTGGATTTCCTCCTGCTCAGAGTTGGAGATTTTTTTTTTTTTTTTTTTTTTTTTTTTTTTTTAGCAGGAAAGTGGACCATGGACCTCAAGGAGCTTGGAGGCCAGATGTTTCTAAGGTAAAACATATGAGGCTGTCACCAGTCAGAAGACTTAGAGAGAGGCCCATGAACAACCCCAGGATTCTCTGTGTAATAAGCTGGGAAGGACTTAGATTCACAATTCATGAGAAGGGAAACTGAGGAAGCCCCAAGGGGAGGAAGACATTTGCCTGTCAGCCTCAAGTAGGAGGCTCAGTCAGCTCTAAGTGAGCGAGCATTTTCTTCTCTTTTTTGAGTTCTCAGGAGGAAAATGATGCTATTTGGAGACAGGCTTACTTCCCAAGAAAGGCACATAAAATAGCACCAGTGGGACCACAGGAACATATCTCTGCAGTCGGGGAGGACTGAGGGAGCCAAACTATATTTCATAGCACTACATTAGGCATCACAATTCTCACAACACCTCCAGCCAGTGATTTGTCCTGGGCTATGCTAAAACTTGTATCATTATCACCATCTTATACAGGCAAAACAGGCTAAGAGAAGAGGCTTGCCTGGCCCCAAATGCCCCATCCTGTGATCTTTCCAGAAATACATTATTCCATGCTGTCAACCTGGTTCTTTAGTGGGAAAACAAACAAGCAAGCAAACAAACAAACAAACAAACAAACAGGTGGAACTCCCGGGCAATAAAACAAAACTAAAACTAAGCACATGACCCTTCCTCACCTGTATGTGTGCGGACGTGCCTCTTTAGGTCGAAGGTGTCATTGAAGCCCTTGCCACAGAAGGTGCACAGGTGCCTCTTCACCTGGTTGTGGCACTTGAGGTGCCGGTTGAGCATACGCTGTAGGCGGAAGCCCTTGCCACACAGGTCGCAGCTGTGAACTGCCGAGTCGCTGCATGTGCCTGTGGTGAACTGGGACAGAGAGAGGTTGTGAGGATCACAGCGCAGGTGGGCACATCCAGGGAGTTTACTAAGGGAATCCTCCTCCTTAAGTCTTTACACTTGCCCTGGCTGAGGCTTCTGCCTCCTAAAAATTCCAAGCAGGTTTTGGCTTTGGAGAAGATGGAACAACTGGAAGCTCCTCCCAAAATTCATTCTCCCCTTCTTCCTTAGCACAGACCTCTGCTTTCTAGCAGGACACTGCTCCCAGCTAAACATCTGCATTTCCCATAAAGTCATGGCTCTATGACTACGTGACTAATGAAATATACATCTTCTTTACATCTTCCACAAGGAGAAAGCCAGCACTGAGGATGGAAGAGCAGAAAGAAAGGAGGAGTCTAGGTCCTGATAACATAGGACCTGAGGTAGAAAGTTCCCAGACAGCCACAATCAATTCCTTACTCCCCATGCCTGCAAGCTACTGTGTCCATCAAGACATGGAGACTATCTCCTCTCCCCTTGGACCAAAAGGATGAAGAGATCATGTGTCAGTTCTAGGCATTTATTTATTTTTATTTTTAAATTTACCTTTATTGTTGAATGTATTAGAGATGTACTCCCCCTTTTTTCCTCTACTGACCACCTCCTCCTCACTCCTACGCCTCTCCTGCCTTCCCCACACTATTTTCTGTGTCCATTGGTTATGCATATATGCATACAAGTTCTTTGGTTTACCTCTTCCTGACTCCCCTGCCCCCTTCCCTTTGAGGTTCATCAGTCTACCAATTAATTTGTATTTCTTTTTTTAAAAATATTTTTTCTTTACTGATTTTAGAGAGAGAGGAATGGAGACGGAGAGAGAGCTAGAAACACAATGATGAGAGAGAACATTGATTAGCCGCCTCTAACATGCCCCTCACTGGGGATTGGGCTCACAACCTGGGTATGTGCCTTGACTGGGAATCAAACCAGCAAGCTCTTGGTGTATGGGTCAATGCTCAACCAGTGAGCAACACCAGACGGGCCCAATCTGTATTTCTTAAATCCTTCACCTTTTTTGCCCATTCCCCCAATCCCACTCCTATCTGGCAACCAACAAAAAATTCTCTATATCTATGAGTCTGTTTTTGTTCTGCTTGCTCGTTTTGTTTGTAGATTCAATTGTTGATAGATATGTATTTATTGACATTTTATTGTTCATATTCTTCTTCAGGAAGACCCTTCAACATTTCATATAATACTGGTTGGGTGGTGATGAACTCCTTTAGCTTTTTCTCGTCTGAGATATTCTTTATATGGTCATCAATTCTAGATGACAGCTTTGCAGGATAGAGTAAACTTGGTTGTAGGTCCTGGCTTTTCACCACTTTAAATATTTCTTGCCACTCCTTTCTGGCCTGCAAAATTTCTTTTGGCAAATCGGCTGACAGTCTTATGGGAGCTCCTTTGTAGGTAACTAACTGCTTTTCTCTCGCTGCTTTTAAGATTCTCTCTTTATCTTTAACCTTTTGCATTTTGATGATGATGTATCTTGGTGTGGAACCCTTTGGGTTCATCTTGTTTGGGTCTCTCTGTGCTTCCTGGACTTGTATGTCTGTTTCCTCCACAAAGTTAGAAAAGTTTTCTGTCATTATTTTTTCAAATAGGTTATCAATTTCTTCCTCTCTTTTTTTCTCCTTCTGGCACCCCCATCATGCAAATGTTGGTATGCTTGAAGTTGTCCCAGAGGCTCCTTACACTATCCTCATTTTTTGGATTCTTTTTTCTTTTTGCTGTTCTGATTGGGTGTGTTTGCCTTGTATTCCAAATCAATGGGTTGCTTCTTGGCTTTACTCACTCTATTGATTGCCTGTAAATTATTTTTTATTTCAGTTAGTGCATTCTTCATTTCCGACTGCTCTTTTTTTATGCTCTGAGGTCCTCACTGAGTTCTTTGAAGTTCTCATGAAGTTCTTTGAAATTCTCACCAAGTTCCTGGAGCAACCTTATAACCAGTGTTTTGAATTCTGCATCTGTTAGATTGCTTATCTCCATTTTGTTTAGTTCTTTTCCTGAAGTTTTGTTTCGTTCTTTCATTTGGGACATTATCTTTGTCTCCTCATTTTGGTTGCCTCCTTGTGTTTGTGTCTGTGTATTAGGTAGAGTTGCTATGTCTCCTAGGCTTCCTAGGGTGGCCTACTGTAGTAGGTGTCCTGTAGAGTCCAATGGCATAGCCTCCTTGGTCACCGCATCTGGGCCCTTGAGTTGCACCCTTGTGTAGACTGTACACCCTTCTGTTGCAATTGAGACTTGATTGCTGTTGGCAGGTCAATGGGAGGGATTTACTCAGGCTGGTCAGCTGCAAGGACTGGCTTTTCCCTTTGCCCACTGACCACAGACCTCTGAAATACCTTGGAGAGTCCACCACAGCTAATCGAGCAAGACTTCCTTCAGCAGGGCTCTGGTACCCGCTGAGTCCACTCCTTGAAGGTATCACTTGTGAAGGTGGTTGGGTGGTAGTGCTTCAACATGGAAGCTCTCCACTGGGTGTGCTGGCCCTGGGGCAAGGTCAGCCACTGCCTGTGTTCTACCTGGGGCCACCAGGCATAAGGTTCAAAGTGATCTGCTGATGGCTGCTTCTTGTGTTGGGCTTGGAGGTGCCCAAGAGAAGCCAAGCTGTAAACCAAGGCTGGTTGCTTCTAGTGCCAGGCCTGGAGCCACTTACCAAGAGGTATGGGGCTTGCTGAGGCCAGATGCTGCTTCTTTGAGATAATTTAGGAAAATCTGAAGCAGGAACCAAGACAGGCCAATCCTATGGTAAAACCACTGGAAACATTTTGGGTGGGCCCGAAAGCTGGGTGGGGCAGGGCCTCAGGGAATCACCAGGGTGGGGCTAACAGTGTGATCCAGGTTTCTGGAGTCCCAGATATGGCACCCGTGTGCCTGCCCTATGCGAGAAGGGCTCACCAGTGACCTCCACCAGCACATCTGTCCAGGAGAAAGCTGCCTCTCCAGCTCTTGCCCTAAACAATTCAGTTCTTCCTCGTATGTCTCTGGTGCTTTTCAAGTTGCCTCCCCTGAGCTGGAGCCCAGAGGGAATGAGTCTGAGTAAGTCTATGTGTGGGCCCTTTAAGAGGAGCTGCCTGGGACTCTAGAAGCCTCAGCCTCGGTTCCCACTGGTTTTTACAGCCAGAATTTATGGGAACTTCTCTTCTTGGCACTGGAACCCTGAGCTGGGTGGTCTGGTGTGGGATGGGGACCCCTTGCTACTCAGGGAAGGCCTTACAACTGAGGAATCCTTCCTGATTTTTATCCGCCAACTGTGGTCATGGGACCAGCCCATCCACACCTCTACCCCTCCTACCAGTCTCGATATGGTTTCTTCTTTAACGTCGTAGTTGTAGGACTTCCATTCAGCTTGATTTCAGGCAGTTCTGAATGATGGTTGTTCTGTAGTTTAGTTGTAATTTTGATGTGGTTGTGGGAGAAGGCGATACCACATTTACTTGAGCCGCCATCTTGGCTGGAAGTCTCCTCAGTTCTAGGTATTAACAGACCATGCAGCTTCTACATCCTCCCTCTAGGAAGCCAGCTTCCATGTTAGAAGTCCGAGACCACCATGCTGTAAGGAAGCCCAAACAGTCATGTGAGAGCAAAAGGCCACATGGAGGAGCACAAAGGTGCCAGGTATGAATAAAGCCACCAGCTGAGTGAGTGACCTCAACCAATGCTGCCTGGAATAGAACTGCCTAGCTGAGCCATGCCCCAGTTCCTGATGAACAAAATCATGAGCAAATAAAACGATCATTTTGGAAAGTGACTTGGTTGGGATCCCATAGCTTCATTACCAGCAAAATCACAACCAAATTGCAGGCTCTGGGCTCCCTCTGCGTTGTCTCTCAACTGTGTTTGCAATCTCTAAGAAAGAAAACTGAATCTATACTTATGTGTTGAAAAACGCCAGATCTAATATATTCATCAAAGGTTTCCTAGTTACCAAATCAGATCCTTTAGAAGAATGACCTAACTGCTCATTCTAAATTCTACTCATAAAAGAGCCTTAAAAAATGTATTTTCAAACACCATTAGTAAGAAGAGTTTGACCTTTCCTGGCTCCAAATCTTCCTAGCCTCAAATACTCTCCTTCTTTTATCCATTCTCATATTGCTCTCCTCTGAGACCCAGCTCAACTGTTCCCTCCCTCATGTAGCTTCACTAACTACTGCAGCCCCTGCTTGTACTGTTCTCTGACCTAAAAGACCTATGCTTCTCAAATTCCCTGGGGAGGGGGTCTTATTAAAATGCAGGTTCTGATTCAGGAGGTCTGGTGGGATCTACACACTGCATTTTTAATAGCTCTGCATGAGACATGAATGTGGAACACTGGCCCTCATGCAGTTCAGTACTTTATTCCATCTCATTCCAAAGGGTTCCATTATGCACAAATGTTTCCAAATGAGTTCATCCAGTGTCCTCAACTAAGTGCCTTGAGTCAGCAAGAGTTTGTGTACATTCCTGTCCCCCAAACCTCAAGTCCAGAATTGAGTCAGTGCACATTCAGAAAGTGTTGATGGGCAATGGGTTCACAGGGGGCATATCAATACAAAGACCTGAAGGAGGAGCAAGACTCTAGAACAGGGTTTTCCAATTAGCCTCCTCTGTACCACTGCTTTTCTCATCTGCTCAGAGATTAATTTGTCTCAGCTGACTGACTAGTGCCTGATCTGTAACAGGCTCTGTGCTCAGAGCTGGAAGGAGTAGTCACCAGGACCACTTGTCTCTAAGAGGTTGCCAGTCTAGTCGGGGAGCAGACCAGTCAACAGGCCACTGACATCTGGGAAGCCCGGGTGCAATGCACATCTCAGAGGAGCACTTTCCCCTGACATGGGGCAAGAGGGAAGGTGCCTTGGAAGTGAGCTCCTCAGCTAGGCAAAGATGAGACTACAGAGGAGGAATGGCAAAGAATATTCCAGGAGAGGATGGTGGGAAACAGGGGGATTGTGTATGGTTGCACATGGCTAGCCTGAGCCCAGGAAAGCAGTTAATGAAGA